GGTGGGAGTGCTGTTGTGGGGCCCCCTGCCTCAGCACCCCTGCCCACCGCTACTCTGGGCCTCAGCCCTTTCCAAGGGGAATGCTCTTTTCCCTGGTGGTCCTGGCCTTTTATTGCCAGCCAGCTCTTTTCCCTCGGACGTTCCTGGGTAAGGGATGCACTCCTTCCTTCCCAGTATCCTGCCCTGAATAGTGGCCAAATTCAGTGTTCTCTCAAACCCTGTCCTGGCTCTGGCTCTGCTCGCTTCCACCCTCTTTGGTCGAAGGGGCTTTCGGTGCTCCTGATCCTTCCGTGGTGTCGGAAGGGCGAGTGCGCTGGGGACACAGACCCCGCAGAGCCGGGCAGCGAGGGGAGGAGCAGGAAGCAGTGAAGGAGGTGGCTCCGTACCAGGGCTGCCAGAAACCTTTGGTTCAGACCCGCTGCAGTCAGAGGACTTGGTTCCTTCTCCCCAGGCAGAGTTAGGAGCCGCCTTCACCCCAGCCTGCGCGGGACCGTTGGAGGGCAGCGCCTGCCTGCAGCCTGGCCACCGTCCCGGGAGAGCGTGCGGTTTGTCTGTGCTTCCCATCCCGCTTGCTCATCCATGGTGGCCACAAACAGGTCCTGGGTGCCATGTAGCACCCGTGTCAGGCTCTAGCCTTAGCGCAGGGTCCCTGTGTCACCCGGGCCAAGTTTTCCCACCCTGGCCCTTCCCAATGCCTACTATTAGCAACGAGCTGGTGAGAAAAAGCTTCCCCCTTTGCAGGGCAACTCCTGTGTGTCACGATCTGCGGCTGCTGAGGGATGGCGGCAGCCTTGGACGCTCCTGGTGTAGCAGACCCCCCCTTGCCATGCACAGAGCGCTCCCCGACCGACAGCTCTCCTGCAGGGCCGGCTCCAGGCGGGCTCCTCCAGGGGCCAGGCTCCAGCCCTGCTCGGAGGAGGTGTCCTCACAGATGCAGCCCCGCAGGGCTCAGGTCTCCCTGTCTCTGGGGGGCCAGATCAGCGGCACAGCCGAGCGAGTCACTTCCCCCCGGCGGGGGATGCTCCTTGGGAGCAGGCTGAGGCGCACGGAGCTCGCTAGAGCTCGCCTGCTCAGCCCCCAGGACAGCAAATGGCAGCCGAGGTTTGGGGCCAGCTCCCCTGCGCAGCTCCAGCCCCATGTCACTGCCTTGTGGCAGCATCTCCAGGCCCGAAGGGGAGCTTTCCTTGTGCTTCCTTATTCCCTGGCGGGATGGGGCAGGACTCCTCCGGTGTCTGAGCAGCATCACGCGCCGGGGCTGGACTGCAGTGGGGTGCAGGTCCTGTTACCCCAGCGCAATGCCGGTGGCCCTCGCCTGTGCAGGGGCCATGGTTCCCCTTAGTCCTGCTCCGTGGGCACAGGTGGTGCCTGCGGGGATGTGGGACCAGCAGAGCCTCCAGCCACCCCAAGTTTTGGCCCCCAGTCC